ACGGATAATGAGAAACGTTTCTTCACACATGTTCGCACCCGTTGTAGCGATGCATACGTCTATTCAAAATGAAGGGTCTAGGAAGAAGTACAGCAGCAGAAAATGGAGATATGCGTCAAGTTTCTCACATGAGACCGACGTCGTTACATCAGCTTCGAGCTCAGCACCACTCGAAATTCCATCACCACCGCCTTAGCCCCAAGAAACCAACGACCAAACATGCTATATGGGGTATCATGAAGCCAAGTGAAATCACGTCAAATCAAGTAACCATTCCCGTTCAGCCGGGGCCACGACGCCTTCTAATGGCGTCCGGTTCCGTCAGATCCTGTTTCCTGTAGGAGTCTGGGTACGACAAAGGCCGGCATGTCGAGGAAATGGTTGGAAAAATATTCAAGACCTCTCCAACCTCCGAATCTCACTCTGCATCACAGCGGCCAAACTTTCTGTTGCCGCCTCGATCTTGCTCTTCTCCACCTGGGTCAATTGTCCCAGCACCCACGCACTCACATCATCTTTCTCTCTCGATACCGGTCGTCCAATTCCGATGCCGATTTTGATAAATCTTTCTCCCATCAACGCCAACAGTCCCGCAGATTTCAACGACAATTGCACGGATTTGATCCCATTATGGCCCTTTGGTGAAGATTCACCTCGGCGCAACTTTATCGTGCCGGGCGACGATTCGAGCTCGTCATGCAGGATGACCAAGGCCGTCACCGTGTCGTCAGATGGAGGATATATATTGCTGAATTGTTTCCACGCTTTTAACGTACCCTGTCCAGAAATGTTCATCATGCTTGCGCTTTGCCAGAGAGTGTATTCATCGCGACTGACGTCGGCGCCAGAACTAACGTGACCGGAACCGAGCAGCTTTGACTTTGTGAGGGGTGGGAGGCTCAGATGCGAAGCGAGATGTTTCAAGAGGATATGCCCTGCTGAATGGCGTGTAGAATGGTATGGGGGAGGGTTGCCCAGAGAGGCAATCAGAAGGCGCACTGAGCGCATGGGCTGCTGCGGGGGAGGAATCGCAGGTTTGCGAATGCGCAGCGGAGATGGGATGATAGGCGAGGGAGCAGCTTCGTTCCTCGCGGCACTGGTGGGAGGAGGAGAGTTGGAAATTATGGGTTTGACAGGGCGTCGCTTGATAACATGTTGATTAAGGGGCGGGCGCAGAGGTTGAGGCTGCGGTGCCGGTTCTGGTTGCAACGAGAGATTGGAAGCAGAATGGTCGATGGGCTCGGGCCAGAACAGATCCTGGGTTGGATCGTGATGCTGGTTGTACGAGATTTGTGAACTTCGGGGATTGTGGTGTTGGCCAGCTGCCTGCGGCGGGCTCCAGTCAGCCATGACTCCCTTTTTCCTTCCGTCGAGGCCCAGATCTGGTTGTCGAGGACAAGAGGGAAATACTTACCTCGATGCGAATGCGTGACGGGGAGCTGGTCTTTTTTGTTTGTCTCAAGCTCTTTGTATGAGTCAATTGACGAAATAATCAATGAATGACAAAGACGCCGGTTTGAAATGCGAGGTGAGTAGAAACCCGTCTGCGTCATTTTTCCAGCTCGCCGCTCGACTGGGTTTAGTCTGCCAAGCAAATGACTCGTGTCTTGTCCGTTTCAGGATCCAGGGCACGTGCGCGTCCGAAGCACCGACGGCGAGCCCATGTTGCTGTTGTACAGCGAGCTCAGATAGAACTCTGACAAGGACGCAGGAGAATTGGTGTTTCAGCTGCAAAGCCTCTCGTTCTGCTCAATAAGATTAGGGTTGGCTGCAGTGAAACTTCAGGCTCCTCGAACCGATAAGGCAGGGAGTATTCGCCTATTCGCGCCCGGAAGCGAGGGTGGCGAAATGCTTTGGAGTTGCTTTTTGTTTCCCCCCAGGATCGCCCAGAAAATCAGGCCATCACACTCCCTCATATCGCCGGTGGGTTACATCTGGGGCCGTAATCTCTTCATCGTCCAAGGGATACAGGCGATCCAAGGTCCAATCCGTGTTGGCTGCTGGTGGCGGTCTGCGAACAGACCCGGCACTGCTGGCACTGCTGGATGCAGTGTTGGCTTCCACCTTGACTTCCTTTTCTTTGGCCAATTCACCGGCTGGCCAGGGGTTGCTCGCGTCCTCTTGTGTTTTGTGAAGTTTGAGTCGATGCCATGAGAGTTTCCTGGGCACTCCCTCCGCTTGGCTCGCTTGTCGCGATCGCGGTTGACTGTCCAGGGCGATTGCTCCCGGGCTATATCCATGGAGCTCCCTCGCTTGTCCTGCTTGCAGACGGTCTGCAGTTGAATCGCCGAAGAAGGAACGCAGATTGAAGATTCGTCGTATCAGGGCCCAACTGTAAGGCATGTTTGTGACAATCATTGCCGTACTTGCTTCTCGACAATACCAGTATACCCATTCAGAGCTGTAGGGATGAGTAAAACTCAGGCGCTTGCTCAAAATCGCACAGAGCATCGTAAACAGCCCCAAACTGAATGGGAACACCAGTAGAATCTTTTTCTTAAGCTCTAGATGCGCCTTGACGAAGAGGGGGAGAGGGATGGACAGAATCAGGATATCGCTGCTGAGGTTGAACACCAGGTTCATGATGAGGTGGTGCAATGCAGTGGTGCATTGCACGTTGTTCGTCGGAGTCTGCCAATAGTCGTGAAATGGTCGACACCAGACGGCGAAATAGCATATCTCCATCACAATGTAGGTGATGGCTACATATGCTGCGGCGACCTTGACCACCAGGGCTTGCTTCAGATTCTGCGTGAGGCGCCAGTAAAGAAGGAGGAGACAACACTTGGTCCCCCTACAGACCTCTGTTAGCTCACATTGACCAACCAAACAAGGTTCGAAGAACAGCATATCCCCAAGATATGAAAAGAGGGCTCCCACAAGAACCAACTTACCATTGCACAGCACACATGCACTGTTCGACGAGGAGAACGGTCTTGGAACCCCAGGTCCGCTGGGAGATTTCTTGAGGTGTCAAGACAACGGGGTGCGCCGGGTCGATGAGGTTCGTCGAGACGTTCAGGTCAATGTTGAGAAATACGATCAGAATAGTATATAGGCACTACCATGATTCGTTCCATTTAATTCATGTGCAAAAATGGTTGCGCAGCACTGGTAGACTTACGGTCAGGAATATCATCAGATAGTCCTCGATTTGGAGTCGCAGCAGAGATCTGAAGAGTAGTAAACGTGACACCCTGATAGAGAATTGTCAGCCGCAGTGATACCATGTCATCTTTACCCCAAGAGGCATCTCACGTACATGCGCGAGAGAACCATACATATGGTGACCGAGTACCAAATCCATGATTCCACCACGAAGGCGGTCATTGTTTCTGGGGTGTCTGCAGTTTTTGGCAGGTCCTCGGTTCTCGAGATATTGCGATGACGAAATTGGAGAGGGGCAAATGGGTTTCACCCAAAGAGCAGATCAAGTCGTGCGGACGAGTCCTTTGTGCAGGTCGACATGTTGTAGAAGACAGGATTTGGAGAGAAATCCAGATTTCTTCAGCTCCAGGGAGAACATGCGTTTGCCAGCGAAAGGAGCGGTTTCACCAACGCAAAGATATCATGCGGGCAAAGGGGATACTAGGTGATAAGAAAACGCCCTGGCTTGCTTCACTTGGGGAGAAGAAATGTCACGGGCTGTCAAGCGGCGAGGTGGTCTAACTAGCGAGGAGGTCGTGGATGGCGAATTCGGTGCTGTGTGTGGGTGACCTCGAGACAGGCTGTAACCAGGTTGAAGATCGAGGACAGGCGAAGCAGGAGGCAAAAGAAACGCCGTGCCGTATCACATCGGGGTCGTCGTGTGCATTATCAGTTGCAAAGGGTCTGTGCAGGATGGACTAACGGGGCGCCGGTCCAACCCAGACAGCCATCTGAGGGCCGAGTGCCATGTGGAGAGTGGATTTGCGCGGGATGGAGCAACCCGAGAGACCCAAAGGCCCAAGGGCCCCGTCAAACCTTCAGGCTGTTTGTGAAGAACGAACGACCTCGATTTACGAGGATTTGTGGAAGGCAGTAGCACCACAGGGCAGGCTGTCGGCGTCCCTCGCGCCCTCTGACTAGCCAGGAGGGGGTGCCCACTTGGTGAAGCCTGTGCAAGCCTGTCGAGCCGAAGGGAGAATGAATCGGAGAGCGAGAGTAATAGCGACAATGGGTTGACGACGCGAGCCTAGTAAGCGAGTTGGCTCGTCGTTGAACCAGGCACAAGGAAGCGGGTTCCAGGGGGAGGAGACAGACTCGAGATAAGCGTCTGACCAGGAAATGGCAACTGGGCGAGGGGGACGCCCAGCAGCCCTCGACCTGGCTGTTCGACTTGCCCTGCTACCTACCGAGCTACCTACAAGTAGAGACCTGTGGGTATGTACTGTACTTGGCAGACGCTTGGAGTCCCAGGCAATAAGACTCCGACATTTCGGGGATCAGCTTCATCATCACCATGGTCTCCAAGGCGGCATTCCCGCGTCTTCTAGAACGCTTCGCTAATCAATGATACAGCGAGCAGATACAGGCTGACGCAGTTATCAGTTCCTTTCTGTGACACGCCTTGTGTTGACGTCCATGCCGCTGCTATGACGGCAAGGCTGCAAGTTTGTCAAAACTATCAGCAGGAAATATATTCCGCCCTTCCAGCTGCTCTCCCACATGTGTAATATCTCCTGTCCATCTCACAAATCATCTCTCCTATTACCAGTGTAAACTTGATTAGGTTTTGCCTGTCGTGTACTCGGTATGTCCAGCTCAGGGGTATCATCTCAATGATCTCGTAACTTGCCACGTTGAAAAAAAACAAAAAAAACAAAAACAAACAAACAACAAAAAGGGCAATATTGCTTTCAAAGGAGCGAATGCAGCCTCCCAGTAACGAATGTGTCCCTTACCCCCCGTTATGACCCGTATTGCTTTTTTGAACCCTCCTGTTGAACTCTTGAATCATCCCGAACATACAAACGCCATGACTGAAACGTCAAATGAATGGATAGAGTCGAGTCTTTGCCTCAGCCTTTTCTAGATCCCATATTCTTATTAGCCCCCGCTTGCAACTTGCGCATCGCTTCACGGTGCAGCTCTAGCATGTCCGGTCGTCTCATGGCTTGATCCATTGCCAACTGTTTCCTTTCTTGCATGCCTCGTTGATATTCCTCCATGAGTTTCTGGTTCTCCTTCTCCGCCTTCAGCTGAGCATGTCCCGCTTCCGCCATCGCCCCGTTGATGCTCGTGCTCGTAGCCCGGTGTTGTTGTGACAGCCGCCATTCAGCAAGCAGAGACTCTCGCTTTTGCGCGTCGCTTCTGCGGTCTCGCTGATTTGGTTGATGGGAATTGTACGAGTCAAGTCTGGTTCCAATCGAAATACCAGGCCGATTGCTGTTTTGGCTCAGTGGCCGCGCCACTTGAGGGAGGTCGTACATGCTAACAGAAAGTGCGCTCGCACCACCGTAGGCTGTATGCGGCCGAGTCCCACTGTTGCTCCGCTGTGGCATCATGTAGGGTGACGACACGCGCCGACTCGCTCTCTCAGGGCTCGTGAATTCCATAGGGGCATCTTCGTCGATTGGTGTCGCGACAAGCGAGTTTTGCATTGTCGCGTTGAGAGAGTTCCGACCGCCTCGGCTGTTGGAGCGTTTTAACGATTGTGTTGATGCTGACCGCGACGGCACTCTGCCCGTGCTTCGACGACGCTCTTGATCCGACACTGACCGTTGGCTCGACGGCGGCTGGGAAGCAATGCCCACACCAGCCCCGCCTGCTTTCACGGTGGGTGGTAATGTGGCTGCTGGCGGCACTTCGACAGGAGGCTCTGCCGGAATCTTCTCGGGCTCGGTCGTGACCGGAGCTAGCTGGGTTGGTAACTCATCGTCAATGCCTTCAATCGTCTCTGGCTCGTCATATATCGGTTTGTCGGCTATGGTAATGTGCTTTGCCCATTCATTGGTCCGATAGGACAGTACCACACTCGACAGCTGGCTAGGAACTTTGGCGAGAGCAGTTTTGGTCAGAGTATCTGCGCTAGAGTTGGTAGTATCGGATGTTTGCGAGTGAGGCTTCTTAACTTCCCTCAACTCGGTCTTTGTTTCGCCCCCCTCGAGTTTGAGAGCTTCGTCCGAGCTGGAAGCACCATTTGCAGACAGTCGATCAAGGTCCCCGAGTATATGTTCGAGCTGCAAGTTCCCATCGATAGTTGACTCTAAAATACCTGGCACCTCGAGAGGCACCCTGGCCGCGTTCTCTGCTCTCTTCGGGACATCCGTGGCTGAACTAGCTGCTGGTGAGATAACAATTTCTGGCGGCAAAGACGTATTTGGATCTGGTTCGACGTCCAACGCATTCACATCTAGCTCTTCGTTGTCCACATCCATGGTCGCAGCAGCCGAGGAGGCCCTACTCTGTGGCCTTTCGCCGTCGATGAGATGTTCTTGCGATTCAGAGCCGCCGCCACCATAGCTAGCGCTCAAGTGTCTTGACCGGCGAGAAAGCGACTGCTGCGAGCCTCGTTTAAGCTTGGAAGAACCGCTGGGTTTGCCTGACTGATCCTTCAAAGCATCTTGGTGGAGGTGAACATCTTTCAGGTAACTGCGAGTACTTTGAGCTGCAGTTGACTCGCCACTCCCTTTTCGTTCCGTCCCAAAGGGGTTTCTGGAACTCTCCAGGGCTTGAAGCGCTTTCTGGCGCTCCTTTGTTGCAACGGCATCCATATCCTCTTCCACCTCTTCTATTACATCGACCGTCAACGTGCTCTGCCGCTTATTCTTCGATCCATAGGCCGAAGATGCTCTCTGAGGCCCAAAGGCATTCATCTCTACGTTTTCGGAAGAACCAGATTTGGGCGCTTGCTCGAGTGAAACCACCGATACGGTCGAATATCGTTTTTCTGGGTGTAGATCCTGCCACAACACGGTATTGCGTTTACTGGTAAGTCGATCGCCATATTGCTTTTCCCATTCGGATTTGTCGCGCTCGTTCTGTCGTTGAAGATGGCGGCCCAAAGCCGCTTCGACCGCCTCCCGCTGTCGCGAATCCTCTTCGTCGACCACGCCTTTCTCTCTTTGTTTAGATCTTACCACCTTCCAGAGCTTCAGCTGCGAGAGTACTCCAATAATGGTGCAGATCACAATCACGGCTATCTCAACCCGTATTCCCTTTGTGAGGGGAAAAGTATTGGTGTTCAAAGGGAAGAGGTTATCGTTGAGATTCCAGATATAGAACCAAAATTCCTTCAGGCCGGCTCTGGTAAAGCAATCGACACCCAAAGTGAAAGCTGTTGCCCCACTAAATGATATCGACCCAATTAGTGCATAAGGGCGAGTGTAGCTGGTCCAGGACAGCGCCCAGAAAACCACACAGAATATCCCGATAAACGCTCCCTTGCCCCCTGAGCTAGTAATTAGTCCACCAGCTCGCAGGGTTAGCAGCCACATGCTAAAACAAAACCCGCCCAAGAGACAGGCAAAGCCTTCGGTGACTTCTTTGAACACCAGAGCACCGCCTCCGAACACGGCGCCAGTCATGAAAATCGCCACGAAGAAGCCTCCCTGCACAGCATCTGTCACCGGCGGGTTCATCACATAGTCGACCAGTGCTGTCGTTGCTATACTCGCCAGGAATGCGCACGACAAAAAAATTTGCACCCATCTGGTCTTGACACCAATCAAAGCATAAGTCGACCCCAGGACGATGAGTATCACTCCGGCGATCCCAAACGCCGGTGTAAGTCGAGGCTGAATTGGCAGTGCATCCGGTTCTTTATCAGTCGAGGTAGTCGTTGAGTTGCTCGCAGGGTTCGTAGATGCGGTAGGGAGGGCCAAATTTGTACTGGAGGTATGCTTCGCAGTGGATGAGGGGGCTGAGGAGGGCGAGCTTCTGGCGGAAGTTGTCCGTTGGACGGTCTGCGTCGAGGTCGTTAGAGATGAAGTGACTGTGTTGTTCACCGGAGTGGACGCATCCACCGAAGCACTCGGGGAATCAGTCGTAAGGGATGGAAGGTTGGTGTTGGTCGAATCCTGTCGCTTCTGTATATTTGATCCAGGTTGGCCGCAAACTCCTGAAGGCAAGGCCCATCCCAGCACCGTCCAGACAATAAGTTGAGAAAGACGCATCTTGTTCTATCCACACGATGGAGTGACTGAGCTCCAACATGGGCTCTCGCCGCGCGCAGAGGATCTCAGCGCATCAAGAACGTCTTTGGCGGTGGCCACTTCCACGTCAACGGGAGTGGTTCCCGGAGCGATGATGCTGAGTTACCATTGACGTGGCCTGGAATCGGAGAATATGTAATTTCGGCCAACAAGCTCGTAGGAAGCAAAACACAACAGTAAGGGCGAAAAGGCAAATACTGTCAACGCTGAACACTTCCACCCACCGGGCAACGGCGACACTCTAGTTAGAATGAAGGAAAGATGGAAGAGCTTAAGAGGCGGGACCACGAGGCCTTGAAGCTGGGGACGAGGCCGGCTAAGAGCAAAATTGAAGGTGGTTAAGCAAGCCACATGCTCGCATGAGCGTACCTTTTGGGATGTGAGGGGCTCCAAATTATCCAAATCGTCATCAAAGAAGCAAGCCAGAACGAGCAGAATGGAAACGTGCCAGCTAGCTCCCGTGGAGAGCAGCCGCTAAGGGGGACAATGTCCCCTGGGGTGAGCGGCTGGACGAGGTATGGATTTGAAGACCGGGAAATTATGCGTTAGAATCAGGACTGGAGCTGCCGACCAAGATCGGAGGAATTGACATCCATTGCGGAGTATCGCTGAGAGCCGCGTTACGTGTTTGCCGGATCCTTGAGCCTATCTCGAGCGCAAGAGCGACTCGTCGACGATGACTTTCTCCAAGAAGGATGAGGTCGACCTGCATGATATCTGCATATTCCTGCGGCGAGGTTCCAGGCCGTGTCTAGGTACACGACGGACGACGGGACAGCTTTGGAGCTTGTGAGGCCAATCCAGCAGGCTGGATCGACAAAACTAGAAACAGCATGCATGGGTGGAGCTTAGCTGAGCGCCGGCTGAACCGGGGTCACCCATGCCGAGATTGGGTGGAAAATAGTGTTACGGCTCGGACAAAGGGGCCCTTGATGTCCATTGGTAGAAGATTTTCTGGGGGATTGGTGGGAGCTCTTTTAAATTGACGGCCCTTCAGCCTTCGAGCCAGCTTTGAGCTGCAAGCCACGTCAAAAACCAAGACGCAGACGGCACCATGGCATGATGGCATGATGTACTCGGTACTCGGTATCCTCCTCGCTTTCTCCGTCCATCCAACAGGGTTCGTCAAGAGCCCTTCGGTCGTCCAGGGGTTCGGCTGAGAGGTTCCGGGCGGACTTTGACAAAAATCGCTCTGCTGCATGTTAGCCATGTCTCACTTGACTTTTCGTAAACGTGCAGGTTCACTCGCTGACTTGATCTTCTCGAAGAGATCACGTCTGCCACAGCGTCTCGCTTCGGCGACGCCAGGTTCCTCCCGGTGTCAAGCTATCGATAAAACATGGGCCAGGATTGAGTGCGATATGATCTCGCGGGGAAGAAGGCGAACAAACGAGATTTAAGGCTGGGATGCTTCGGGCTGCCACCTGGAGACTGGGAGCGGCCTCTTCAAGCCCACGGAAAATATTATGTGGAGAAGGTGAAAATGGCCACAACCATGCGACAATCGGAGTCGGACATTTTGACGCCTTGGCCCGACTTGGCGGACCACATAATATACACGTGACCACTTCAGCTGCCTCGCTGCCTCGCCGCCTCGCTACCTCACCGCCAACTGACCCCAACCAACCCCCAACAAGGTTGGGAGAAGCAGACAAAGAGGAGTCAGAGAGAGTGTGTGTTTGTGTAGGCGAGAGAAGGGAGGCAAGGATTAATGTATCCCAAATTGATAAGATGGTCTGATCAATATCACATCGCAACGCCATCAGACAATCACAGGGACGAACCCATGCTCCACAGCCCCGTGTTACCAGTACATACTGTTGTACAATGTAGAATCGAACAGGTTCATTCATGAAGAGGGCTCACGGCTTGCTTTGGAACCAACATCCTCCCCTTCAAAATCATCTGGCCCCGTCCGCTTACACTTCTCCATAGGTGATTTTAGCAGCAAAGTGATTTGACGACTGCTCCCGCAAAGTGCTGTATTCACGGGATCTGTGGTTCGTAAGGGTTCACAAACGTCGGAGCAGTAGGTGATCCCTGCAGCGTCGAGGTCGGGGGGTGGGAGCGACCTTTTTCCAAGTGGGCATCACATTTGTGCGAATTTTGGCGCCTCTGCTCATCGTTCGTCCACCGATGCGGCAAGGACAACCAGGGAAGCCAGGTAACTATATATCGCACCCGTACAAGTTCGCCTTGTACAAGCTCGTCTATGTCTGTGTCTTCTGGCGGGATATCTTCCGGCACTTGAGGACCCGTGCTGACAAATTTGGTCGGTGGCGCAAAGACTTCAAAGAGCTTCCTCGGCCCCGGGAAGTCCTGGTGTGTTTGGGAATGATGAGGCTCTGTTGGAAGTGACGGTTCGTCCTCAGGGTCACGCCACTTTTCGAGCACCTTGTAACCCAACCGGACAAAACTGAAGCAGCCGATAATCAACGGAATCAGCTGGGAAGGGAAGAAAATCCGATTACCGGGGCCCAGCACTTCCTTAACATGGTTGAAGTTGAGAGTACACTCAACTAGAATCATCGACCACAGAATCCAGAGAAAATTGCCGATCCCGAGAAAGTAGAAGATTCTGCGCAGTCTAAGATTAAACAGTCAGCCAAGTACACAAACTTGAAAGCTGCTTCCAGACGAATTTACTCTTTTTGATAAAGCCCTGTAGCATAGTGCAATCGAGTGCTCGTTCGCCATTTCCCTTGCTTGGCTAGGTCGACACCCTTTGCAAACCTTGCGAATAGAGCTAAGAAGGACGCGAGCAGCATGACGCCGAAATAGATGACGCAGCCAATGCAGACGATAATGTTGAAGATTCTCACACCACCGTCGGCACGGACTTTGGCGAACATAAAAGTGTAGACGGTCCGACATGGACCTGCATCGATCATGACAGCGGTAGTTTCTGGTACGATACCAAACCACCAGAACCACGGGCCATATACCGCCACCGCCATCGAGAGGACAAGTCTGAGATGCGTGCCAAACCCTCCAAAATGGCGAATGCCCTTTGGACCTTCCCCGAGGTAATGGCAAGTTCGATATCCCCAAAGGCTCAGGACCGAGAAGACGGTTCCCCCCGACAGATGCATAAGAATGACGCAGTCTAGCTGCGTCAAGACCTTTGTGATGGTGCATCTTACCATGGCCACAAGATTTGCAAAGAGGAATATTGCGTTCGTATCCAAAGCTCCACCGATGTCACCCGGCACAAATGAATTTGCCTTGACACAATTGGTTAGTTTGCGCCTCATCAATGCGTAAACATGAATAGGGACAAGAACTTACGACCCAACCAGTGAACCACGAAAAATAGATTCCCTTTCAACACAATGTTAGATTCGCTGTGGTTCAAAGAGCACACAAGGTTGGAAAGCATTCAAGACTCTGCCAGATTGGACACACTGCTAAGCACAACACATACCAGTCGGACACCAATTCCATAGTAATCAGGCGCACGAGCACTCTGACATTGGTAGTCGTTTGGGTTTGGTCCCGTAATATTGGTTCGAGGTACAAGCCATCTCGGACTGGTATGTGTTTCTGCGGCCGCGGCAGAGCACGAACCAACGAACAATAGCAGCAGCAAGCTGAAGCAGGTGACTTTGTTATTCTCTCCAACCATGTTTGGTATCAGAATGTGTCATTACAGAAACTTCCAATTCATACCTGGCAAAGCAGGGATGTTTAACCTTTTGAACATGAGGGCTTTAGTGTCGGGCTGCCCGAGGAATTCAGTATCCTGATGGGGCGCACCAGGGCCTGGCAGCTGAGGAGACAGCAAAGACTTGTGCTAGTAAACGATGTCTAGCATCAACCAGCCAGAGGTTTTGTTTGCTCAAAGTAAAATCTGACAAGAAGTATAGTGCCGCCCCAGGACGAGGCATGTGCTGGTTTGCCCTAACCCACAGAGTCGTCAACAAATGCATTTCGGTTTTGGCTCGTGGTCCTTGATCTATGACGGAATGGACGTTGCACGAAGACGTCATGGCTTTGATACCCGGTTGCAACGAGGCTGATCATCTGCAACAGCCTGGTCATGTTCAGCAATGGTAGCAAGTGGATCGAGGCCATATTAACCCAGTAGCCGTCCCAGATTTGGCTTTCGAGGCGGGTCTCTTTGTCCAACGTCCTAAACACGACAATAGGGCACTTCACCGAACTGGAGGATACAGAACATCGGGACAGGCGGAGGTCACCATGACCTTGAAGAGCTCGTCCTTTGGGGATTGAAACTAGAAGCCCCTATGCATTCCGGTTCTGGCGGCATGTAGTGGCCAAACATTGCTGCTTGTTGGACCTGTTAGCCATCTTGTAGAGAGTTCATCCTCCTCCAACCATCTAACCCTTCAATCTGATCAGCATCAGTATCGGCGAAATGGATTTCATGCCAAGCAGACGCTTGGATGCGAGGGCGGCCTGGGTGCGGAGACGTGTCAAGCCGTAGGAGGCCTGATGCTGAATCGCAATCGACGTAGATGCAGATCAGCACATACGCAGACTCAGCGATCGAGCAGCAGCAGAGAGAATTGTCCAGAAGTCTGTATCAAGAGTCAGCCCCTGCATTCGATTGCGGGAGAAGTAAGATGAGATATTGATTTTTTGTAACATGCCAATTCAGCCTCGAGGAAATTGCTTGGGTGCTTCGGGTGTTAATATTAATACTCCTAGTGATCCCTCGCTCTGTACTCCGTACAGGGCAAGGTACTAAGTAATGGAATATAGTTTATCCGATGTATTCGGCACTGAAAGATGCTCTTAACCTGAATAGGCTCCAAGCCGAATTGAACAGCAAGTGGCACACTCGACGTCTCTCGATTGCTTCACTTGACTCCAACTGTTTCTAAACCCCTTAACTATAACACTTGGCCTTTTTCACAGAACACATATGACAGTCGAATTCTGTAGGGATGGAGCCAGCGCGTCTTGAGCTCAGGGATGGAAGTCTTCCCCCAAGGTGA